TTTTTTTTAAATCCCGGACGAGCCCCCAAAATGTTACGCTCGTGCGGGGAAATAAAACGAAACAACGTTAACAAGAAAACAACTTCAACTATATTTACTATTTACAAGGGAACACACGTAACTCGCAGACTTAAGCTCTCTCTTTCGTTAAAGACCGTCGCGCACGTCACGACGACTCAACGGCCCCAAAGAGAATCTTTCTAACCCCGTTGTTTATTAGTCAACGCTGATCATCTATTGTTTACGACTCGTTGCTAAGAGAATCTGCTGTATGTTCAGGGCGCTAAAGGCGCGGGCATCAAGACACGGGCGTAACAGTATTATGAACTCTTGAAGCCCGACGAAACCGTTAATACACAACGCTATCGCCAACAAATGATTAATTTAATCCACGCATTAATCGAAAGACGACCGGAATGGGCCAGAAGACATGGCAAAGTGATTTTGTTGCGACAATGCGCCGTCTCGCATAGCAAAACCAGTGAAAGACACCTTGAAATCGCTTGGATGGGACATTCTTCCGCACCCGCCGTACTCCCCAGACCTGGCGTCATCTGACTATCACCTCTTCGCATCAATGGGGCACGCGCTCGCAGAACAGCACTTCAGCAATTTCAAGGAAGTTGGAAAATGGCTCGACGAATGGTTTGCCGCAAAAGACAAGCAGTTTTTCTGGCATGGTATTCATAAATTACCTGAAAGATGGACGAAATGTGTAGAAACCGATGGCCAATATTTTGAATTAAAAAAAAATTAATTTCCCTTGAAAATTACGTGTTTTTTTTTTTTTACCAAAAAACCGGAAAAAACTTATGCATACACCTGGTAGACAAGCAAAAAGTATATGGTTAATGGAAATGGAACGAGATATACTCTTCAGCAACATGGATTTTGGATCCTGTATTTCCAGTGTCTTCGTCATCTGATTCGAATGACATTCCGTGCGACTTCTTGCGTCGCAAAATCCGCTTGTCGCGCGTCTTCTTCTCAGCCGAGAGAGCCGCTCGGAAATGCTCGCTCCAGCGTAAATTTTAGCGTTCCACCTTTACATGCGATTTCGCGTAACGCCGGACGAGCGGAATCCCGGCGGGATCGGTCATCTCGAGTTCACGCGAACTGATGACGGACCGTTGACAGCGAGAATTAATCCGATTCTTCTTTTTCCCATCGATACTCGCGTCACGGAACGAACGGTATGTGAAAAAAAAATACGTCGCGAATCAACCATGCGGAAAATTTGAGAAAAAATTTTCACTTCTACGCTGTATTCTGCGCGCGCGCGCAGCAATATCGATTTTCCCGAAATTCCCGTGAGTTGCAAATTTTCACGTGGCCCTGCGCGCGAAATACGAGCCTGTCGCCGCGAATCGATCGATTGCGGCACGCGCATAGATCGTTTCAAAATAATACCAAAATCACGTATATTTTAGATATATCGACCAATGTAATCAGTCATTAACGAATTAATAACGAGCTAGAAAATTTAATTTAGCCTTTATTATTAGCTACGCGACTAGCTTTCGACTCAGGCCGGTTAGTTACGTTTCTACTCGGGTCCCCCGGGCGATAGAAAATTCAGTTACACCGACCGGAGTTGTTTTTACCGTGCGGTCGTCGATTCGCAATAATTGCATCGTGCGTGTCCGAATTATTGACGCACCGTTCCCGCACATTTATCATCTACGGCTGCACGTTAATTCTCGGTCGGTGCGCGCGCGGTTAGTCCGCTAGAGTTCTTGCGTTTTCACGCAAAGGTGGCCCCGGGTGTTTGAGAAATCGCGACAAATGATCGCCGGCGGAATTTTTGCGGGGCCCGAAGAACGTCGCCGCTCACCGGGACTCGCGAGAGGAAGCGCCCGTCGCTTTATTATATCGACATGGGGAGGGGGGAGGGGTAGTAAATTTCCAGCGACAGCCGAGTACGCCTCTTTCCAGAACTTCGCGCGCTATTTCCGCTTCTCTAAAGATATCTGCTCGCGTTTGAAGCGGCAGACGAAGTTCCAGCGCCGATGCGGAGTTGCCCTGGAAAGTCGTTCCGGACAACAACGCGAACGCGCCTCGCTCGTGTATTTCTGCATGCACCGTGTATGAATGTATGTGTGTGTGTGTGAGTTTATGTGTCGCAATGCGCGATTTACGTGATTTAACTCGTCACCCTGACTAAGATATTTAACTTTCCTGCAACCTCTCTCTCTCTCTCACCCTCTCGCCCTGTCGCGTGTTGTACGTTGACCCGGGCAAACTTCCCAGTCGCGGACTCGTAATTGTAGGACGCAATGTGCGATGCAATGTGCTATGCAAGTCGCACCAAAGGTGCGACGCAGCTTGCGAACTGCTTCTTTCCGCTCCCGATTGGAGTGAGTTAATTAATCTGATTAAAGGACTCGTGCCTAACGAGGGGCTACTCGAGTACGATATAATTCGTCATTTTTCCTAACGAGATGAAACGCGAAATTATATTTATATATACGTATATATTTCATCTATATATATTTTTTTTTTTCCGAGCTTACGTAAGTTACAACACCACAAGACTTTGACTTCTCTACTACGCGTACATCTATTGACCGTTTATCTACTTTATCTCGACATCGCGTCTCATTCGAGTGCGTAAATCAACTTATCATTCATTTCGTCGATAAAATATAATCTCACTATAAGTACATAATTGTAAATTTTTATCGTATATCAGAGTTAAATATTGAGGTGGACGCGAATATCTTCGCGAAGCAAGTGAATGTTCACGGGTGGTTGCGGAAGGAAAGCGGAGAACAATTCGTACGAACGCGAACGGTCGAACACCTCGCCGTAGAAACTTTGCAACCGCCGGAAACATTTCGCGGTGGCATCATGAGAGACCGAAATGAGAGGCGATTTGCTCTCCAGCCGCCCGCATCTTCGGCAGGCAATAACTTCATAGTTGCTCCTGCCTCCGGCGCGCAGTCGTAAACCGGGAGTCAACATCTCGCGCGACTGTCGCTCCAAATGCGACGACTGCGGACTCTGTTAGACGTCGTTTCAGTATGACAGCTTAAGTTATCTGCTGGGCCACCGCTATGAAACTCTCCACAGAGAGACGCACATACGCGCTTTATTATCGCGGGGATCATAAGCTCGACCTCGAGATAACATCGATTAACCGTTATCGCGCCAACTATCGTTATATTTCCCGGTGAGTCATCCCGAGTCGAAATTTTAGTTAAACCTTCTTTGTTTACACGCAGAACCACCTGCAAAAGCAAAACTGTTGTATTAAATTTCACACATTAACACACCCTTCGTGTGACTTGAACGTCGAAACGTGTCTCGAGCTTGACCGTGCATCGAATGATCGATCAGACGACCTCCCGGATATCAGCATGGCGATGAAGAGACTTCAGCCTCTTTTCATCCCCGAACTCTGAACTCTGCTTTTACCGCTGTTCTCAGCCATTTCTCGAAATCGCTTTATTTATGCAACAATCGAGTAATTACCGTGTCCGTGATTATACGCGTGCGGATCTTCTTAACCTTTGAGACAGAGAGACCGTCTGGCCTTCGCAAAGAATCGAGGATCAAGGGACGTAATTGAATCTCATATATGCCGTTTCAGCCGGGCTATTTGCACGGCTGAATAAATGCGCTTTTGCCCCGGGGAGCCCCGCGCGCGGCCAGGCTCTCGTGATTGTGTTTAAAGCCGTTGCGTCTCCGCGTAATTAAAGCTGCCTTATCCGAAGCGAAGGAAAAATGAATGGATGCTCACCATTGCCGCGGATTGCCCTTGCAATTACCCGGCCAGCGACGCACAAAGTCGGAAAGTTTCTCCGCACGGGATAAAAATTAAGTATCAATTCAGGACTTATATATTCTAATAGACGCAATCATTGTTTCATGTACAAGCAAGAATGTATTATCTTCTTACGAAAATTAATGTTCTTGAATTTCAATGGAAGATTACGATAGTCCACTGCGGATCACAGTATGATTATTCTGAAAATAATAGATCTTTTTGTAACGTTTAAAATAATTATGTGGAAAAGATGAATGCGTTATTTTGAACAGCTCTATATTTGAATCAAATGTGTGGTAATCTTTTTCCAACGATCTTTTCACTTCAACTATTTTCCCTCGTAATTGCGACCGTCGACGAGCGCGATCGGGCCCGACGGGACGAACGAAATGAATTTTACGCGGTGTTTATTATATATTTAAAAAACGAAACGATGACGACGGCGGGGGCGCACATCGTCGAATATCTGTGACGCACGACAAATGTATCCCCACCGAAATTAATGTCATGTCATCGTTCTGAATTCACAAACCGAATCGCGTATGTTACCCACAGCGGCGGGGCCAGATTCGAGTAAACAATTGGACGAAAACTCGGTTAACCGTTTTCGGGATCAGGCAAACGAACGCACGCGTAAACAACAAACGCGAGGTCGCGTTTAATTTCATTTCATACACGGCACGGTTAAACGTCGACGATTCTCCGTTCCTCTTTTTCTCCTCTTTTATTCCGCGAGCCGTGTCGAAACGTCGAAGCGAAACCTCAACGACGCGGTGACACATCGAGGTCGAAACAATCCTTCGTTTTTATCCGTACCCGATATTCTCTGCGTATATTAGCGTAACAATTTCTCGATGACGCTAAAGAGGATCGCATTTTGAATTTTCTATCGTTGAAAACTTTTCTCTCAGCGGAGAAGAAAATTTTAGAAATTTTATAATTTTTTCATGGAAAAATATTAAAATACATTTTCTGCGGGATTAAGGGTATGTTTCTTTCTTTCTTTCTTTCTCTCTCTCTCTCTATGAGTTATCACAGTTATATTAAAACACTTCTCCAATTGTTAAGTAAATTTATCATGTTACGTTAAATATACGTCTACATTTGATGAAATTAACGATTAGAAACGACTCACATTCCATTACTTTAATTCGGAGGTTAGAAAATATACAAAATATATCCACACTTTCGGGAATTACCGGGTATTATGCGACGGAAACACCCGGCAGTGTTCTGTTGCAGAAAGAGACAGCACTACACCCCCCTTACCGCGCATTTGTCACCGTGTATCCGTCTTATATCTACCGTCCCTAGATTCTTAGTTCCATGGCGCGAACTGCTGTCGGGCCGGAGGAGGATAGACGGACAGGCGGGGGAGAGGGATTATCGTGAGAGATGCAGTCTCTCGATTTATCGGACGGTGGTTCGTCAGGCGACCACCGACTCGAAGACCCGACCGTCGTTTTCCTCGGCCGGGATATATACATATTTCCCTTTTATTTCCATCGAAACGGCTCCTACGGCCGTACAATATACAAACCCGCCGACTTGGCGGACTGCCATTCAATTCGCGGAAAATCGGCGTGAAAGCATGTACATTTCCGCGCGAGCGAGAGCTGAAAGAGAGAAAGAAAGAGAGAGAGGGGAGACTGTTCCCGCACGTAATACACGGTTCACCAAAAATTTAAACCCCATCCAGCGGCCGCACGCCGAAGCGAGAGAAGCACCTGCGAACGATCGCGGCTGATTAACAAGTGATATCTCTCTTTCTCTCTCTCTCTCTCTCTCTTTCGCCGTCGTAGAAAGACCCGCCAGCTGAGCGCGTGATGACGCGCTCTCGCGCGAGAATTTAGATTCGTTTCTGACTCTGTCGGGAAATTGGCAATAATTGCGAATCACCGGTGCCGTTTCTAACGCGAGCGCTTAGAACGATAAACTGCAAAGAGAGGAATGTGAGTGAGTGGGTGAGTGAATAGCGTTTTATTATCGTCGTAGAACGCATCGTCTCGGGCAATAATTAGAAAAATTAATCGACTGATTATGTACGTAGATAAAAGCGCTAGATTCAAGTAAATAAGTGCTCTAATATTCTTCGGAAGGCTTTTACTTGGATCAAGTAACGTTTACTTCACCCACGTGAAATATCTTTTAAGTGAATTATCCAAGTGAATTATCCAGTAAATATATTTACTTGATCCAAGTGAAAATTTGTTAAAGAGTATTGGAGTAATTATTGAATCTAACATTTGTTTCTCCATGTAGCGCAATACAAATATCGTGTTTGGAGGACTCGTCTCGTTTAGTTCAAGCGGCAGATAAAAACGCAAATTAGCCTTTGGAATTCGGAACGTTTCGGAGTTAAACGATGACGTGATACCTCGGACTGTCGTTACGTGAATCAATGAAAACAAACAAGTTTTTCCGAAAATCGAAAGCGGTACACTTCGAAGAGAGGGAGAAACGAGTAAACGGAGAAATCGAATAAGCGCAGGAGCGATTCCGCACATCGTCGAAATCGTCGAAGACGATCGATTTCCCCTCGTTTCGCTTTTTCGCGAAGCCACTCCTTAACGAAGTTCGAGATATTACTGCGGCTGCTGCGATGCTTTATCGCGCGGTACAAACTCGATCGCGTATTATCAGGATTACGGGAGGGGGGGGGGAAGTAATGCAATTTCTCGCTG